CCAGCTACTTGGGAGGCTGAGGTAGGAGAATCGCTTGAACCCGGGAGGCGGAGGTTGCAGTGAGCTGAGATTACGCCACTTCACTCCAGCCTGGGTGAAAGAGCGAACATTATATCAACATGTAATGGTTTTATTATTAATATATAATGAATTAAATATTTTCAGAATCTTGTATTACTTATATCAACATGTAATGGCTTTGTTAATATGTGATGAATAATATTTTTAAAATTTTGTCTTATTTTCTAGTTTTAATATAATTATGTATATAAAGAAATAGTCTTAGAGGTTTTTAATAAAGTTAAAAAATGTAAAGGCATCCTAAACCCCAAAAGATTGAGAACTTCTACTTTAGAAATATTCAGAATAAGCCACATACAACTTGCTACTTGAACTATTTTTTTTTCTTTGTTTTTTATTTTAGGAGATGAGGTCTCACCCTGTCACCCAGGGTGGAGTATAGTGGTGCTATCACAGCTCACTGCAGTCTTGAACTCCTGGGCTAAGGATCCTCCTGCCTGAGCCTCCTGAGTAGCTGGGACTATAGGTATACATGACGACACTTGGCTAATTTTTAAATTATTTTGTGGACATGGGGTCTCACTTTGTTGGCCTGGCTGGTGTCAAACTCCTGGCCTCAAGTAACCCTTTCACCCCTGCCTCCCATCCTAGAGGTATGAGCTGCCACAACGAGCACTTGTTCAATTTTCTAAACAAATAAAACATTTCTAAAGTAAGGCTGTAGGATGATGGCAGGAAGATAAAAATAGAAAAACAGAAGAATAAATTCAGATGACTTACACATATTCTTTTGACAGCAATAAGAACTTTTAGTATATACATTCCTTGCAAACAAACATAAGGCAAATAAACAATGTTGTATAGGAATGTCAACACACACCGTACAATATTCCCACTTTGCTGACATGAGTTATAGAAATTTCATGGTTTACTTGAGTATTGCTATCAGTATTTTACTTCTCTAATCATTTTTATGAACTTCCTCATCTGTTAACTTCTCTCCAAGGTATGTCATATCATGACATACTGCTGCTGCACAAACATGGCCAGTGTCTTCCTCTTAAACATGTTGAATGCTTTCCTAATTTCTTTTACCCTCTGTCTCTGTGTTTTGCATTTTTCTTACCTTTATTGTCAGAAACTCCAGAAAGTCAATCATACTAATTTATCGCCATTTGCTTTATTAATTTATACTTTGCTTATATGGAATTTTGCCCAACAGGCCTCATTAAAATTTCTAACCTGTTTTGTTTTATTTATTTTTTTTCTGAGACAGAGTCTCGTTCTGTTGTCCAGTCTGGAGTGTAGTAGTGCTATCACAGCTGACTGCAGCCTCAACCTGCCAGGCTCAAGCAATCCTCCCATCTCAGCCTCCCACGTGGCTGAGACTATAGGTGCTTGCCACTATGCCAAACTAATATTTGGAATTTTCCTATACGTGGGTTCCAGAGGGGTGACGGTGAAACGTGAGTCAGCATGGATTTTGGTATATGCAGAGATGGGGGACTGGAACTAATTCTGTCTGTATACCGAGGGATGACTGTATGTGTTTTTACAATTATGCTGTAGGACACATACTGTTACGGAGCCTTGAAAATAATAATTTTTAACTGAGTGGAATAATAATAATATTGATAAAAGTAGCAGCTGGCCAGGTGTGGTGGCTTACACCAGTAATCACACCTTGGGAGGCTGAGGCAGGAGGATGGCTTGAAGCCAAGAGTTTGAGACAGGCCTTAGAAACAAAGGGAGTCACCATCCCTACAGAAAAATGCATGAATTATCCTAGTGTGGTGGCATGTTCCTGTAGTCCCAGCTACTTGGGAGGCTGAGGTGGGAGGATCGCTTGAGCCCAGGGAGGCTGAGACTGCAGTGAGTCATGATCAGGCCTCTGCACTCGAGCCTGGGTGGCAGAGTGAGACACTGTCTCAAAACAACAAAAAAGTAGCAGCTAACATCAACTGACCTTTTACCAGTTGCCTGTTAATACCATGGTGTAATTTCTTATAACTGTTTCTTATTTCACTTAACCACTCTGTCTTCAGTTACTCCCAGATTTTCACTGTGTTTGTGCAGATGACCTTTTGTTTAGATTGAATTGTCTCCCCAAGGTATTTGCAGAAGTAACATTACTGTGAGTCATGGTGAATGGACATTCTCATTACCCGTGATGTAAATTGACAAGGTTTTGGGTGCCTCCCAGCTATAATCTCAGCACTTTGGGAGGCTAAGACAGGAGGATTGCTTGATGTCAAGAGTTGGAGGAGGCAGTTTGGCAGTATGGTGAGACCTTGTCTCTATTATTTTAAAAAATTGTCAAGCTTTACCCTGGAAGGCTTATATACAATTTAAACACCCCTCATAATATAAGAAAGTGCCCATTTCACTGCATCTTTGCCAGCACAGGGTATTATAATTTAATGTCATTTTTTGTTTATTTTAAATTGGTAAAAGACCTCATATTACTTTACTTGTCACATTTCTACATCTTTCCTTAGCTTATTAGCTCTATTCCTTTTCTGTCTGTAAATGGTTGTTGTTGTTGTTTTGTTCTTTGAGACAGGGTCTTGCTCTGTCACCCAGGCTTGACTGTAGTGGCATAATCATGACTCACTGCAACCTTGATCTCCCAGGCTCAAACTTCAGCTTCCTGAGTAGCTGAGACTACAAGTGTGCACCACCACTCCCAGCTAAGTTTTTTCTTTTTTTGAATAGAGACAGGGTCTCACTGTGTTGTCCAGACCGGTCTCTAGCTCCTGGCCTTAAGCAGTCCTCCTGTGTTAGCTTCTCAAATTGCTAGAATTTTGGGTATGAGCCACCATGCCTGGCCTGGGTAGTCCTGATTTCTCTAGAGTTCTCTTTACTTTGGGCTAGCATAATCTCTCATTATGCTGTTCCCCTGTTACAATGAATAATTCTCTGGATTAAATTTTACCACTTTAAACTTTTGAGTGATTTATGTCTCCTGATTGTACTCTGACTAATATGCTCGAAAGCGTCCTGGGAGATAAACCCACACAGATGGGATTTGGGCATAAGTTTGGTTTTCCAAGGGACAGTGCCGAGCTCCTTGCCAATGGGAAATGGGATGCTGGTGATTTCCGGTAAGTGACCACACAGTGACTCAAGCTACCACTTACTGTTGATTGTGATGAAATGCCAACTGAGGCACATGCCTTGGGAGCTAAGTGGTTGCTGCACTTGACCGCTATGAAGACTGGTGTGGGAAGGGTGCTTTTGGATGCACTTAAGCCCGGGTCCCCAATCCCTGAGCCATGGAGCTGTAAGGAGCCACACAACAGGAGGTGAGTGGTATCGAGTGAGGGAAGCTTCATCTGTATTTACAGCCACTCCCCTTTGCTCACATTCCTGCCTGAGCTCCACCTTCCCTCAGGTCAGCAGCAGCATTAGATTCTCATAGGAGCACACACCCTGTTGTGAACCGTGCATGTGAGGGATCTAGGTTGTGCTTTTGTCCCTATGAGAATCTAATGCCTAATCTGTCACCTTCTATGCTCAGATGGGACCATGTAGTCGCAGGAAAACAAGCTTAACATGCCCACTGATTCTACATTATGGTGAGTTCTATAATTACTTTTCATCTATTACAATTTTATAATGGAAATAAAGTACCTAATAAATGTAACATACTTGAATCTTTTGGCCCAGGTCTTGCCTCTCGACAGCCTCTGCAACCTCTCCAGGAACCCGAACTTTCTCCAGTCGGCCTCTACAGACCAAGCTCATGACTCACAATGGTCTATTTAGGCCCATACCCTACCTCACGGCAGTCTCCGCCGATGAGGCTACTGCCTCACAACAGCCTCCACAGGCCCAGCTCCATCGTTACAACGGCCTCTGTAGACCCAGCTCCTGCCTCCCAGTCTTCTCTCCAGGCCCAGAACTTTCTCAAGTCGACCTCACCAGACCCAGCTCCTGCCTCTCATTGCCCTCCCAAGGGCCAGCTTTTGCCTCATGGCCACCTTCCAAGACCCAGCGCCTGTTTTACAGTGGCCTCATGAGGCCCATCTTCTGACTCCCGGCAGCCTGTACAGGCCCAGCTCCTGCCTTACAGTGGCCTCTTTAGTCCCACCTCCTGCCTATTTGCAGGAGGCCCAAATGGCCTCAAGTCCAGGCCACAAAATCCAGGCCCAAAATGTCCACAAGTTGGCCTCTCAAGGCGCCGCTACTGCCTTTCGTTTCTCCAGGCCGAGCTGCTGCCCCCAGGTGACCTCTACAGGCTGCTCTTTTACTTCTGGCTGTGCCTGGAGGCCTAAATCCTGCCACTCCGCGGCCTCTCCAGCTGCCAGACTTCCTCAGGTCAGCCTCTCCAGGCCCAGCTCCTCCTGCCTGCCACTGGCCTCTTGAGGCCCAGCCCCGCTCACGCCTCTGGGCGGCCTCCTCAGGCCCG